CCGTAAGTCCTCCGCACTAGTCCGATTCCTTATTCCCTCCTCATTGGATCTAACTCCGATCTGTCCACAGATTTCCCGCACCAGCGTCCTTGTGCAAGAACTCAGCTACGTTTATGCTGCTTTCTTGGTTTTCCTTTAATAAATCCTTGTTTAAACATTTCACCCCGTCTCTGATCTGATTCTGTATGTCGTGGGCTAGATATCTTCACCACAACATGACACCACGCCCTTAAACGCAAACATCAATATTGCAGTTTTGTATAATGTTTTCCTGAGTCAATGACTCCAAAGCACTTTACAGCACAACCATTCACCAACGCTGGTGGTAATAAGCTGAGTCATGGCCACACAATTTAGCAAAAAGCTCATTTCCAACAAAAGTCCCACACATATACACCATTACTCAATATATGAATCGTGTCGCCAAAGTTTCCAGCACTTTCCTCTCCTTTATTGTGTAGGCACAGTCCTGTACGCACAGGAGCATGCATGATCATTTTTCTGTTCGTTTTTCTGGATTTGTGGATTTTCTAAAAAGAAAGAAAAGATAATTGGGTAACACTTTAGTTTAGGGAAGCCTAATTAATAATTAATTAGCTGCCAATTAATATGCATATTAGTGTACTACTAAGTCTGAATGAGTCATCATTAAGCTATTATTAGATGTGTATTACCAATGCTGTAATTCTAATATTAACAGGCGATAATTTAAGAATTTGATCAAAATAAGCCATTCGTAATGGTTTGTTGCTGATTAACACACATGCTAATTAGCTCAAATCAATATGTGGATTTTAACTAAGTAATTCAAGGGGTATAGTTGTTCTACATTAATAACCAAAAATATTATGTTCTGGTGTTATGTAAATAAACACCAAACTCCACATGTTAACTCATTCACTGCCACTGACGACTAAAGTCGTCATTTGCATTTTTTTACTGTTTGAGCATCGGAACGAGCCCCCGCGCAGATAAAACAAACATCTCAGCCAGGGACGAAATTTTGATTTCAGAAGTGGGGGGGACACAGCAGGCTTGTGCGGATTTGGGGTGGGGGGTGTTATGTAAAGACCCCTTGACACGTCACGTGCCCATCTCAATAATTTTTCCATTCTTATTGAAGTGCAGTTTTGGCTGTTGACAATGGATAGGCCATCGTATTTATTGTTTTGGGTCTTTTTTTTTAATTATTTTTGGTGCAACATTTTCTAACAGGGAGTGAGATTCCTTTTTTATTTAATTTTTGTTTGTTATTTTTATTCATTTAGAAGTTCTGGTTCTGGACATTTCAATGTTAAATGAAGGTTTCTTTGTTGCATTTTAAAGGGTGTACTTGCATTATTATGATATATTAACATTATATTAGTGGTTATTTTGGTCTAGATAATGTTGACAATATCGTTTATCATCAACAATTTGTTGGACAAAATATCGTCCAGCCAAATGTGTTACATTCCCAGGCCTAGTCAAAAGTATAAAAAGTATTTATACATAGACGGTCCCTCCTGAGATCTGGCCATTTGTTCATTTGCTGTGTTAGAGGACATGCTGAACTAATGTTTTACACATGATCATCACCCTAACATTTGAGTGTATAAAAACATATTAAATATGTTTTTTCCCTTAAAAGTGTTTAAACAGTTGTTGCATTTCAACACACAAAAAATAAATGGAAAAAGTAAGATAAATCTAATGAAAAGTGAACATCTTTGACATTAAGCTTAAAAAAATCTGTTGACGATGATGATACTGTTCATTTTTCAGAGCTTTTTAATGTGAAAATATGCATTGCAATAGATAAGTTTACAATAAAGTTAAATGATAAAAGTTTTGAAGTTACACTTCTACTACTACTACTACTAGTAATAATAATTATGATGATAATAGTAATAATAAAAAAATAATAATTATAATAATACGAATAAATTGTGTCTGAGGAGTCAGTTATGTGGAGGAGATGAGTTTGTAAAAGTTAGTTTTGAGTATGTTTGTGAAGGAGGAGGTGAGTCTGAGCTTAATGCAGGTCTGTCACATGTTCCAACTTACGTTTAGACTTTGAAAGAAGTCTCTTATATCCACTTTTCGTTTTCTTGACATGCTGCCGCCTGGCTGTGCCTAACTACCAAAGACTCACAAATGAACACTTATTCAAATGTTATGTAATGGAAGCTGAGCTGAGCTCTGATATTACACAGCGTCTAGTTGACGATGTGACTCAGTACCGGTGTTCCCTAGCGGCTCCAAACTAGCAAAACAACGTGAGCACGTTCTGACTGTTTACAACTTGAGTGACAGCAGCAACAGCCAATAATACGTTAGCAAGTATCAGCAGAGCCAATAGATTAGCTTTTGGGCGGGTCTAATAGTAAACCGGTTTCCGTTTCGGTCCTAGTGCTCAACCAAATCCATTTAATGGAGCGTAATATTGTTTTTGGACGGAAAAAAGTGCAGGGGACCAAAACTGCCTTTTGAAAAAGTGGGGGGGACATGTCCCACCCGTCCCCCCCCAAAATTACGTCCCAGATCTCAGCCCTGAAGCCGATCTTCATCCGCATACGTCACAGATCACATGATCAGGAAGCAACACATCCATGTGTTAGGAGATCGTTTTGGGCCGTTCCTGTAAAAAAAGCGAGGCGCGAACCGGAAAAGCGTCTGCTGATCACAATTCGACAACGGATTATGAAAGAACGGATAACGCTCGAAACACGCAGCTTCTTCCTGATGTAAGAGGTGAGTCTCCTCTTTGTTTTGGCTGTTTTGGCATCGACATCATGCTAGCGCGCAACGTTCTGTGACTCTTAAAAAAAACAGTAAAAACGGTGAGAAACGCTGGCAGCGAAGGCCGTTAGTGATCAGGAAACGGCTGGCAGTGAATGAGTTAATAGAGCCTAAACAACAATCACTTAACCACTTGTAAGCAAGAATATGTCCCCCATTCTAAAGTCAGATTTTGTTCATACGTAATTACTAGTAGTTTAGTATTAATTAACCACTGAAAGGCAGGAATATGTTCCCATTTAATTACTTCGTTAAAAGCCACATATTGATTTGAGCTAGTTAGTGTCACGCTGAGCAGGAGGTTAGGACCCAAAAACGCAGAACACACGAGACAGGAGCAGACGTAAATAAGTAAATCCTTCATTTAAAGGAGGAGACTTGATCCAGCGGTCCAAAAACAAAACAGAAGCTCACAACTGAGCACGGACTCGGGTGAAACTCGGGAGGGAACAGAACAACGTAGACACAACATTGGACCGACGAGCACTGAAGGACAAGACAGGGTTGTTAAACACAGAGGGAGGTGATCAGGGGAACAGGTGACAGGTGTGAGGAGTGAGATCTGGAGGGAAGGCAGGTGCATTCAATAACCTAAATGAGGGGAAAGAATAAGCAGGAAGTCAGATAAACCTTAACCTATAAAACACGGGTTAAACTAAACCTGAAGACTGAGGGCAAAAATAAACAACTAATAACTAGATGGATGAGGAGGACTAAAGTAAGTTTGACTAGGAATTATCAGGGAGTGATTAGGAAGACACCTGGGGGAAGTCTAGAGAGGGCTGGGGATAATAATGGGACACGAGAGGAGAACCTGGAGTGAGAACAGGAGGATGGGGACAGAGGGACACAGAACATGACAAACGTTAATCCGCAACTAACCATTTACTTTTGGTTAACAAACCATTATGAATGGCTTATTTTGATCTAATTCTTAATTTATGGCCTGTTAATGTTAGAATTACAGCATTAGTAATAAGCTGTTAATAAGTGCTTAATAATGACTAGTTAAGACTTAGCAGTCCACTAATGTGCATATTAACTGGCAGCTAATTAATGGTTAATTTGTGTTCCCTAAACTAAAGTGTTACTGAAAACTGCAGCCTGAGACGTAAAAGCAGGAATGATGCAGGGAGATGAAACAATATCAGAGAAATTGTTTCTTTCTGATCTAATTTAACTAAAAAGAAAAAAATGCAAGACTTTTAATCAACTCAGGCGTAGAATGATCTGTGCTTTGTAAATGCAAAGTAACTTGACTAATTCAACATCAGGGGCGGCGTTAGGCCCGGCTACTTGGGCTGAAGCCCCGGATCTTTCATGTTAAGCCCCGGATCTAAATCGCGGAAGTAACATGCAGTACCAACGTCCAACAGAGAGGGAGCAGCTGGCAGTAGTTTGTATACAGCCTGCCTGAGCCTCCACCACTGAAGAAGAAGCCCTTCAGCAGCCGGCTTCTTCTGCACTCTCTGCCTGAAACGCATGAGTGAAGATGGACATAAGGACGCTTTTTAGACCAAAAGTACAACGACAGAACCCCAGCTTTGATGAGACTGGTGTTGACTCAGGTTTGTGAGTCTTATTTGAAAATATTTGTTGTGCTGCTGGTTTGCCTAAAGTTAGCTTATCAGGTAAAGTTGTTGGAGAAAGAAAGGGAATATTTACTATCATCTCACACTAAACGCTAACAGGAACAATACTCTGCCCTGAAAATGCTTAATATGTAGCTTCAGATTAAAAATTATGTGGTACAAGACAAATATATATGATGTTGACTAGTGTGCGCGCGTGTGTGTTCGCGCGCGTGTATGTGTGTTAAGCCCCGGATCTTCTTCAGTCATAAATCCGCCCCTGTTCAACATGAAGACTGAAGGAATTCTATGAGGTCATTTTGTAGTCGTTTCTTCATCCTCGCTGGTGACCGAGGAGCCTAAACCTTGTGTTCCTTTAAAACCTGCTCACAGCAAGAACAAGATGCTCCATGCACCAGTCTGGCGAGCCACAAACACAAATGTGTCCATTAACACTAACAGGTCTGCTAAAGTAATTAATCCACCGATGTTCACACAATAAAACTGTAACCTTTCATTACAAAGAGCTCATTTTCCAGTGACAGGGATCTTTACTCATAATGGCTGCTGCTTGTAATGATGATAGAAGCAGAAGTCTCTTTGAAGACAACCTTTAACCTCTTGAATAAATGAGGACTTCTATCTTACCTTCTTCAGACGTCCACTCTTGGTGCCCACAAAAGCCACGCAGTAACCATTGTAGACGTAGGAAGTCACCGAGGTCATGCGATCTCGAGTCTCGGTGTAGAGCGTGTGGCCGGTCACCAGCTGAGAACCGCCCAACGGCTGGTTGATGTCCAGACCGCAGAAGAGATCGTCAATAGGCACCGGCTGCAGATGGAAGATAACAGAGGTTACAGGATCATGTAAGAAGCGTGAGAGGTGGATGAAACTAAGGAGGTGACAAATATATGTCAGAGATGCTGAAATGCATGAAATGATATGACTAGTTATTAGTTAGTATAGAGGGCAGCACAAAAGAACAAGCTTGTAAGGAGAAGTGCGTCTCAGGAGGAATGGCTGAACTGAGAGGGGGATTGATGGGTTGGTGAATTTATGAAGACTGCGCCGGAGGAAGTCTGAGATTAAAACGTGAGAGAGCTTTGAGTTTGACTTGTGCAAATGTTTGTCTTATTGATTTGCTCAAAAAATATATATCTGCTCCACCTGACTGAGCTCAACCTTGCTCTCAGCGTGGCTCATTACCCTGACCCATCATGGCATCTCTGCAGGAAGACACGCAGCGCATGATAACTACGTCCGAAAATGTGAGACTACATCAAAATGCATGCAAGGCACACTAATAATGTTTGCATCTGTTCACTGGGAGAAAGGAAATAGTACCATGAGGTGGTTTTCAATTCAACATCAGTTCTGAAAGGGATTTTTCAACCAATTTTCAAATGAAATGTTGTAAATAATAATATATTTACTTGTGGCAAGATTGATAAGCTAACAGCTAGTTCTGCTGTTGGTTTATTAACTCATTCACTGCCATTGACGACTAAAGTCGTCATTTGCATTTTTTTACTGTTTGAGCATCAGAACGAGCCCCCGCGCTGTGAGAACAAACATCTCAGCCCTGAAGCCGATCTTCATCCACATACGTCACACGTCACATGATCAGGAAGCAGACCATCCATGTATTAGGAGATCGTTTTGGGCCGTTCCTGTGAAAAAAGTGAGGCGCGAACCGGAAAAGCGTCTGCCGATCACAATTCAACAACGGATTATGAAAGAACGGATAACGCTCGAAACACACAGATTCTTCCTGATGTAAGAGGTGAGTCTCCGCTTTGTTTTGGTTGTTTTGGCATCGACATCATGCTAGCGCGCAACGTTCTGTGACTCTTAAAAAACAGTAAAAACGGTGAGAAACGCTGCCAACGAAGGCCGTTAGCGATCAGGAAACGGCTGGCAGTGAATGAGTTAAATGGGAATCTATGGTTATTTACACTCCAGTAATATTTCATCCATAGCTGATAATAACGTAATGGTTTATTAAAATAAATAAATAAATAAAAGATTTTTGGCAGATATGCAAGCTAGACTCTGACTAGCCGTTAGCTCACCAGTGCTGTAGGATGTAAGTTATTTCTCTAAACAGAAGCTGTTCAGGAAGCTGTCAACAATGAGAAATATTTTTGTGACTAACTTAATAACACCCCCCCCCCACACACACACACACACACACACACACACCACCACCCCGCGATATATTCCAAATTTGCAAACAGTGAGAAGGATGAGAACGCAATAGAAAGGAGGAGTTAAAAGAGAGGTGGGGAAACGTTGAATCAGGTCAGCTGACGTTACCTGAGAGCCGGTGCCCTCAATGTGCCATGTAGAGTAAAAGAAGACACCCAGCCACCCCCCCACCACCCCAGACCCTCTGAATATTCATATTCCTGCTCCGACACAAACTCATTTGTTCTTTTTCTGTCACTACATCCACCTCACATCTACATCCTCTCTGTCCCCATCAGAGACATCTACAGAGACCGTGTTGAGTGACGTTTCCCAGTGGGAGGCAGACCAACCTCCGTTAACGTTTTACACACAATAATGCTGACTGTGCATAATCACCTCCGCTTGTGTAGTCACGCCTCTCACTATTTATTGTCTTGTGCCTAAAATATCCCCAGAGTGCTACGCTACAGCACAAAGCACAAGCATATATTCTCTGATTGTTTTTACGCCTGCTCTGAGGACACGCACTTTCGCTGGATTAATCAGAATGGAAAGCTCGCGGTTAACTTGAGGAACGGTTGTCGTCTTTGGGTTTCGGCTTATCAGTTTCGACTCCTTCAGAACCGCGTAGCTCCTCCACATATGGTCTGTTGGGCTCGGCACCATTTGGTTTTGATTATCTCAGATTGTTGAGATGATGTAGGCTTAAGCGTTGGCAGACATCTCAAATCCCCTGAGACACCAAGTGGATGAGCTCTGCTGTTCAGCATCTTGCAGTTGTGGGTATCCACATAGACGTTTCCTTTTTTTTTCCAGTCAAAGCAAAAGGCAGCGATATTTAAGCTGAAACTTGTTTTATTAACCCTTATTGAACATCTCTATATTTGTTATGATGTCATCTTGAAGAAACAGTTGCTATGTTGAGTTTGAAGCTCAGTTTTGTTCCCTTTAGAGGAATTTCAGGGAAATCTTCACTAATTTAAACATGAGCTGTAACAGGATACCATGTTATTCCCTTCCACCAGCGGTTAATTAGCTGGTAGCCAAAAGCGAGACAAAAAGGAGACAAGCTCAGTTTGATACAAAAGAATCCCATCATGGTTCTTCTTCAGGGGACCGACTACAAAGATGGTACGGATCTCCAGATGGTAGAAGGCTGGACGGCTGGGTGATAAATCTTTGATTGGCTGCTGTGTGTGAATCTCCTGGCTCATCCTCAGCTTCTCTTCCCCAGCCTGAATGTAAGCACACACACACACACACACACGCACACACACACAGTGCAATATTTGGGAGGAAAATATCTGAGCGTATAATTAAAGTTACTCCTGTAACTGGCTACCTGCTGTTAGAAACAGATCAGAGGGAAAGCTGCTCGTGCTTTTCAGCCAGAACAGTTGAAACTAAAATCCTAACAGTGGGTCCAACCTCATGTCCCTTCATACTGAGAGGATTAGATCAAGTTTAAGATGCAACTGCTGGTGCCTAGACGGAGGCAAACACAAAGTTGCAAGAACATTTCAAGAAGCTGAATCACTGGATGTTGTGAGAGATTTGATTTATGGCCAGGTCTTATTCATGTCCCAGCTTTTTTCAGTGTTCACCCTACTAAACTAAGACTAAACTAAGACTCCAGATGTAATGTTGTTTTTGAACATTTCTAAAATTTAACCCTCTGGAGGCAGGGGTTGCAGATTTACAACAGTTAAAACCTACCTACCTGGTAGCATGAGCATTTTTTATCTCAGAAGTACCCCTAAAGGACTTAGTTGCTCGTCCTTTTATCAAAACCTATTTTGAGCCTGAGAGGGTTAAACAACATGACAACAAGGACTCAAACCAGGAAATTATATTTCCTTACAAACAAGTCCATTTTGTCTAATACTGAGATGCAGAAAGGCTGGACAACGTTCCCATTTTATTCATAAAAATTGGAATTTTCAATGAAATCTGAAACTTATACAAAATTAAAGATGGTCTTAGCAATTTGTCAGTGTGGTTACCGGGGGCGGGGTTAGGCCCGACTACTTGGGCTCAAGCCCCAAATGTTTTATGAAAAGCCCCGGATCTAAAACATGGAAGTAACATGCAGTACCAAAGTCCAACAGAGAGGGAGCAGCTGGCAGTAGTTTGTATACAGCCTGCCTGAGCCTCCACCACTGAAGAAGAAGCCCTTCAGCAGCCGGCTTCTTCTACACTCTCTGCCTGAAACGCATGAGTGAAGATGGACATAAGGACGCTTTTTAGACAAAAAGTACAACGACAGAACCCCAGCTTTGATGAGACTGGTGTTGACTCAGGTTTGTGAGTCTTATTTGAAAATATTTGTTGTGCTGCTGGTTTGCCTAAAGTTAGCTTATCAGGTAAAGTTGTTGGAGAAAGAAAGGGAATATTTACCATCATCTCACACTAAACACTAACAGGAACAATACCCCTCTGGGGTCCAGGGTGTAATTTGCCGTTTTTGACTAATTTTCCTTTGTATTTCCAAAATAAAAACCATAACCACTGCCTTATGTGGTATCAATCTTTTCAGCACAACCTGGACTTTATGAATTTATACTTAATTTTTCAGATTTGGACATAAAGGGGTTGCATATTAGACATTAAATCACTCAAAAACATAAGATCCAAATAGGAAAAAAGTTGTTTATTTTACTGTGAAACCAACAAACTTTTATGACGAATGTTTTTTTTTATAATTTAAAATGGTAATCTAGACTTCGCATTTATAAAAAATATGAATATAGCAAATAACACATTTAAAAAAAATTATTAGCCCTCTGGGGTCCAGGGTGTAAATCACTGTTTTTGACTCATTTTGGTTTTTCTTTTGTATTTTCTAATAAAAACAATAAACATTGCCTTATGGTGCATCATTTTTTTCAGGACAACCTGGCCAATCTGAATTTTTACTTATTTTATTAATTTGGCAATAATGTGCATGCATTTTGGAGTGGGTTAGGAGATCGAGATCTGACAGCTGCGCGGCGCCGCCCACTCCTCTTGTTGGATCTCCGAGGAGCTGGATCTCTGCCTTCATCCTCTACCTCATCATGACCCAACTCTTCTATGAGGAAAGGTGGATCTGCCACATCATCAATATCCTCGCTATTTGCCTCAGACTCCGGCTGCGAGTCTCCGTCCACTTCTTCTGCTTCCAGTTCATAAAACAGCCGTACTATCTGACCTGCCTGGTGGACATTTATCCTTCTCATCATCCTTTATATAAGCCTGATAAAAGCCTACTATACTGCAGAGACAATATATCTGTCCGGATCGCTCCAAAATATGAATTTCACCGTCAATATCTGTCTAATTGTTTGTTGTTACTCCGTTTGCGCCACTCCTTTCCACGCGTTTAAATGGTGAGTCATTTTAGGGCAATACTTTGGTTTCCTGATGCGCATGTCTTTCTCAGACAATGTAAAAAAAGTAGGTGGACCACTGGAAGCTGCTGCAGGCTCTGCTGTGAAGTAGCATATGTTGATAAAATATAGTTTGACACTTGATGCTTAAATGCCAAATACATGGCAGAATAACATCCAAAAAAGCTAAAAGGTGTGCGGAGCACTGAAATAGGAAGCAAACATTACATTAATTTATCGTGTTAAGTTCATATGGAGAATGGTCCATTCTATGGAAGGAAGGACATTCATTTCATTCTCATATAAACTACTAATAATATTAAAACCTGTAATGTTTTAAATTAGATTGTTTTTTTTTACAGGCAGATTTATCTCCTCCATTTTAAATATGAACACATGGTGTTTTAGTTGAAATATTTGAATATTTATGAAAATTTTGAACATTGTAAATGGAATTGTTCACATTTAATAACTAATAATGCAGTAAAATAATCTGGTTAAATGGTCATGAATTTGTGAGATGTTGAAAATACAAATAAAAAATGGAAAAAAAAGGATAGATTGTAGGCCAAATGGATTTTGGAAGTAGTTAAATGGATTTTATCAGATTATTTGTCACCAGCAATCACATCTAACAGAGATCTAGGCTTTAGACACTAGCTCTCTAAAGAGATGACATATTGAGGACCAGGGATCTATTCATGCGATAAAACTGAAATGGCAAAATGTGCGTAAAAGAGTTCAACTCTTATTGACATTAGAATGGTTGACGATCTGGCTGCATAATGCCATTTGTAAAGATTTAAACTGACAAAGACTTCTATCTGCATAATCCATATTAGTCTATATATTTATTGGCTGCCTCTTGAGCGTGAGGGCATGATTTTTAAGAGCTCTGGCTGACATCTTCCTGCCTCAGTGTCAAAACACACACGGCTCGTGTGGCTTTAAATCCAAGAGGACAGCACAACAACGTTGGGAGGAGATGTAACACAGAAAGGAAAGGGAGGTGCAGCTGTGCAGGTAACAGCTGACAACCTTCAGAGCACACTGGGATGATTGGGAGACTCTTCCGGGAAGCAGAAAAAATGTTCTAATTTGAGCTCCCGCTGTTAACAAGCCTCCCAACCACAGCATTGTCATCACCACACACACCATTCCTTCTCACGCCTACGCCGCCCCATGCAGCATCTTACCCAGCCTTCTCAGTGGAGCTGATAACACCCAAAAAAATCCTGCATGAAGTTGGGTTCCTGCTCACCACAGACATTGCGCTAGCAGTGAATTAGCTCATTTTAACTGGATTGGTCCATTGAGGTCCCTGAGAGGGATTAGCAAACACAAAAGCTAATTTATATAATTCAACTCCACGTTACGCATTTGCATGCTCGGTAAAAGCCTTCGCGATGCACAATCATCCATAAAGTATGACATAGTCACTTCATTGTTGTTGATCCCTAATCATCGTATATTCCTATTAGCTGTCAGAGAATACAGATGCCGAGGACTGGGTCCTCATGGGACCTGGGGAAAATCAAGAAACCCAATTCTATAATAAAACAACATGTAACAGATGCATGGTGCTGTATTATGGGATAATTGGGGATTTTAGAAGGAATAGAGTGGTGTGTGATCTTTGATAACATCAGACGCTGAATAACTTGGGTAACCCCCCAGACACACTCCACCCCACCCCCCTCCAACATACACACTTTTGATCCAGAAGACGAGAGTATTTATTTGGATTGTGCTTGGGGGAAAATCACTTTAATGGTTGCAAAGAAAACTAAAGCTTGCCTAATTTATGAATATCTCTCCCTGAAATACATTTGAAAGCAGACGCGCTCTGGTATCAGAGCAACAAAACAATCTGACATCATTACATGTAGTGTGAGAGTCATTTGATAATGGAGAGCGTGAAATGCCAGGCAGTGAGAACCATTTCCGGATGATTGTTGTGTTTATTTTCATTACAGCATACGCCCAACAAACTATCTGTGCTGCCGAGGCTCATTGAGAAACTTGGGCCATTCTCTTGCTGTTTACAATCAGATACCAGAGAATTCAAGTACTGTATGTTTAGATGTAATTAAATGAGTCTGCTGGTAGGGAACTCACTAGAACCAAGGAAGAACAGAACTCGTACTTCATCTAAAGAGTATTTCACTATCTCGGGTAAAGACATCCACATTTACGGTGAACTGGTGAAGAAATGAGCATAAAAGGTAAAGTAAATGTGTTTTAACGTGCTTTAAATCATTTCTACTCACCGCTTTTGTGCACTGCACATCCTTCCCAAGCAGCCAGTTGAGCTCCAGGTTTCCTTCCCCCTGGTAACAGGACTGCAGGCGCTCCTTGATTCGTGCATTGACGTCTCGAATGGTGAAGACGCAGAGCGCTGAGTCATCCGGTGGCCGATGGAACTGCTTTTGGCCTTTAGAGAAGATGGTGAAGAGAACATCGTCTTGGGGACTGATGTTGAGCGAGGCTGCGAGAATGCGACCCGGTTTGCCGAGGTAGGCAGCTTGCAGTAGCCGGTACTCAATGCCGTTCTTCACACAACCGACAGGCAAGGAGACGTAGGAGTGAAACTTGCGGTCGTCTTTGCAGAGGCGAACGATGCGAGACGTGTAGAAGAGATCACTGCCGGATCCGCTCGACGACATGCTGTTCTCTGGTGTCTCCGGCTGGACAGTCAGGAAGTAAACAAAGTTGCCGCTTGCAAAACCGTAGACATAGTAGATGTCAAAGTGGGAGACGAGTGCCAGAGTGTCTGATGGTATTTTAATGAGGGAGGACACAAAATCGGTGTGCAACTCATAGTCCAGCATGGCAGATGATTCTGGATCACGTGGGAGTTTCCGACTGGAGATCGTGGGAAAGTAATCCTGCTTGCCGTCTACTGCTGTGCCAATGAACAAGGTGCCATCTTGGCCCTGTGACGGGACAATGACCCCATACATGGTCCCTGTCTGGTTAACGCTGGAGAGGTAGTGCTCCTTCTTGTGGGAGGGCTCCACCAAAATGAAAAGGTCATCCAGTCTGAGGAGCTTACACACACCCTGGTAGAGGCTGCCGCAGGCCAGAAGCCGATTTTGGGAATAATCAATAAGGAGAAGCTTGTTTACATTGTTGGTGGAGACAAGTGGTTCAGAACAGGGCTGAACAATCAGAGGGGGGTAGCAGGCCTTATTGTCATTCTCTGGACCTGTGTCATGAGAAACAAGGAGGGTAAGATTGCCTGAGAGCTTGTAGATACGGTTGACCGCTCCAATGTACAACGAGCCTGTGGTTTGGTGAACTGTCAAGTGGTTAAAAGCCCAGTCTCGTCGTTCAGGGTGAAAACTAGTGAAGGTCTGCCCATCGGTGATGGCAGGAATTACTAAAAGCCAGAAGCCTAAAAGAGCAGCTATTCCTCCTGACTTGGACTGAGGTGATAAAGTTCTCCCTTTGACCTGCAGGTCTTCCATTTTTAACAAGCTTCTAAGAAAACTGCCGAGTAAGCAGAGGAAATGGATGAGAGGATTAGAGGCAGTGACCTTTGACTCTTTCTCAGTGAAGGCTAACTTCCAGGATAAACCTTCACAAGGGTCTTCACGTGTTTCTGGAAAGAGAAAACAAGAAAAAAAAGAGAAGTTAAATATCTCGTCATTAGTCACTTTTCACACACACAAACAGATGACCGAATGGGAAAAAAATGGTTGTTGCTAAGATAAAGGCGCAACGCTCATCTACGGCGGCTGGGTTTAAGGAGTCCGTTTGTGGAAACCATCATGGTGCACATTCCAAAGAAGCTGCTGGACAGGGCAAGCCAATGCAGGAAGGAGAGGTGGGCTACAGTACAGGAAATGATCCTGACCTGAGTCATACTGATGCTGCAGCTGCTGCTGCACACCGATTTCTAAGAGAACACCCAACGCCATCGCTGCCCACATTAAGCCTTGAAAACCATGACTCATTGCCTTTAAATCCATAAAAATCTACTTCACCTGGCTCACCTACAACACCTGAAACACGTTCATGTTACTGAATACAATGATAGAAAAGTCTACTATTTCACCGACTCTGGTTAGGCCTGGCTGCTTTTCATGCGCCATGAATTAAAAGATAGAGCTCTATGTGGTTTGTCCCCAGGAGTTAATAATCTCATCCACTGGAAGAAAAGGCTGGGCTCTTATTACTGGAACCAACTGAGAACAAACTGTGAGCTACTTCCACACACCCTTACACTCACTCCTCGCCCTGTAATGGGGCACAACTTACAGAATTAGAATCTTTTAATAATGTAGTATTTTAAACCATGTCTGGGATTTTTTTTTATTAGCCTATATGCAACTCATGTCTTACTGGCTTAACCGGACCATAAAGAGATCAATTATCAGCAGAAAAATTATGTTTTACTGCCACAAATATCGTGTGTGTGTGTGTGTGTGTGTGTGTGTGTGTGTGTGTGTGTGTGTGTGTGTGTGTGTGTGTGTGTGTGTGTGTGTGTGTGTGTGTGTGTGTGAAACAAACCCTAAAACTTGGTTTTAGAGGTGTGGTGTAAATTAACCTTTAGCTAGGGTTGGGGTTCAGAACAGACCAATATTGGTTATGGTTGGGCATAATGCTGTCATTAAAATGAATGGAGAGAGAGAGAGAGAGAGAGAGAGAGAGAGAGAGAGAGAGAGAGAGAGAGAGAGAGAGAGAGAGAGAGAGAGAGAGAGAGAGAGAGAGAGAGAGAGAGAGAGAGAGAGAGAGAGAGAGAGAGAGAGAGAGAGAGAGAGAGAGAGAGAGAGAGGAGAGAGAGAGAGAGAGAGAGAGAGAGAGAGAGAGAGAGAGAGAGAGAGAGAGAGAGAGAGAGAGAGAGAGAGAGAGAGAGAGAGAGAGAGATTCATTAACTGTGTATGATCGGTGTGCTTCATCAGAACCACGCAGTGTGAGGGGCTAACAAGTGGGGAGAATGGCAGTGCATCCCAAAATCAACTATGATCAGGCGTGGCGATCCAACAAGGGTAATTACTGTGGAGCTGAGGGGGGGTACACTGGGGAGCGACATGGGGATGCCAAGGGCTTGAACGTGCCAGAGACAGCCCTACATCATTTGTCACGCTTCAGATTTGCATTTGCCAGCAGAGAGGGCAGGGAGAATCAAGGGTGAAAGATGTGGCCAGCATAATCAGTGACTGCACGTTGAATTATCAAGCGCCTGCAACTGGAAGTAGGGAGGGGAGGGTTATGGGGCGAGATAGAGAACATCCAGGCTGCTCAGTTCAAGGCAGGTTTGATTTGCAAAGCTGATTTGGAATTCCCTCTGAACACTGTCAGTCCTTGTGTAAACCTCGCTCTAAATCCAGTAATGGCCAACTTGAGGTCCAATTCCTCCCCCCTTTTATCTACGGCTCGGCTACACAGGTCTGTCTTAAATATAGACCCTAAGGAAGTGTATTGATCCAAGTGTCCATAAACGCAGGTCTTAAGGCCCAATCAAGCCCTTCTTGGCATGTGTATTTGGCGGAGGTGTGGGAGGTTCTCCGTCCCAGAGGCACTTTATTAGCATAGTCATAAAAGTGCCATTCCCTCTAAAAAAGCACCGAGGCAGACCCTCACTCTCACATTCTGCTGTCTGCACACTGCTACGCTCCTTTGTTTGAGTTTGCACAAGCTAGATGTGCAAAGTGGATCCCATAGGTGGTATAATGAACCCCCTGCTGAGCTAGCTTTTTGCACACAGCCTTTTGCCCTTTAGGGCTTTTGCTACACCCCCACTGCTCTTAATTGTATATGTGTATATAACATTTACTACCATCTATCACTTCTACCTCCCCACTTTATTTCTTTCTTCCTCCCCAATTATTTAAAAAAATATACGCATCACTCCCTCCCGGCATGGCAACAGCTGCAGAGGAAGAGAAAGAGTGTCTGACTGGTGTAAATAAAAGGTTACCCATTCATGTTGCTTTCAGCAACTTAGGGACTGAAGTCTTTGTTTAAGTTGATTGCATGACCACCTCTTTGTTGCACGTGACATAGATTTCTCAGGGCTTTGCAGCTGTGGAAAAGACTTGAAAAGAATAGGCACAACACCAAATGGACGCCATGGTTCTGAACTGTGACTTGTTTTGTTTATCAGAGTTAGCAGAGGTGGGCATTAACATATAAATGTGGTCAGGAAAGATTCATACCTGAACACAATTACAGAAAAATCGAAATAAAGATCCTACTGTTTAGTATGGTCAAGGTGGAACTTGAAGGCAGCATTTTTTACATTTTAAGGGGCTTTCTCAGGGAGCTTTGAAGCGTTTTACTAGGTTATATTGTTATTTCTTCATAAAAAAAACTCGTTTTTGGCTGTTTCAGCTTCAAATTGTGAGTTTTACTTTGAAAATCCTGTAAAGTGTAAATAGAAACTTGTCGTCATCAGCCCCTCTCCCGGAAGCTAGTCTCTGGTCTAAAGCCCGTCTCCTCTGGACAGCACAGGACTTGTGGCTTAGGTGACTGGTGACATGTGGTGGGCTTGGTAGTCCAGTGGTTAGAGTGCCAGGGTGGTGCACAGGATCACATCCTGGTCTGAGTGCAGTGATCATTTTGTTCACTTAATATATTTGGGGTGTTTTTTTGTTAATTTTTTTGGTAAGAAATTCATTTTCGCGGACTAAAACCAAATGAAAACAAAAACAAACACGCCAATGAAGACTAATTTACGACGAATGTTGACCGACATTTTTCGTTGACGAATAAGAGACAACGAAAATTGACAGGAACGAAAATCCAATCGGAAAACGGAAAAGATAGGAGACCAGAACAACGAACCAATCAGAGTCCGAAGCCGGCCACTGTTTGAGCAAGCTACCGTTAACCAGACATCATATTCTGATGTTTGTGCCGGTAAAAGTTTGGTCTAAAGGGAGAAAGTGAATTTTACATATTTCTCTACAGTTTCATTAGGCGTAGTTAACGTTACTTTACACAGTGGAACATTATTGCATCAGAAGAAAATACATATATTGTAGTGGACTAAAATAGTTTTGTATGTTAGTTGACTAAAAAAAGACTCGGGTGGCTAAATTGTGACTAAAATTAAAAATATATTTTGTCAAAAGCCTAAATGGTCATTTTTTATCAAATACTGTGCCTAACTTTGCTCTCAAAGGTTTAAAATAGCAGGAGGGAACCTTTCAATCCTAATTTAAACGAGCTATAATGCTATAAGCTCACTATTTTTTAAACAATGAACCACCTTCTCGATGTCAAATGTTTATTTGACAACAACAAACACAACAAAAAGCTTGTTTTTCGTAAGGTAATCTAATAAGATTTCACTAGTGCTTTTGTTATTACACTGTAATAAAACTAAACATTAAAATGCAATCTGAAAAGTAAAGAAATTCTCTTAGTACTGAATCCTGTTGATTCATGGATCATCACTTTGCTGCTGTATGTTCAGATCATCATATTTTGGGTTGTAATTTGTTTCTCAATGAATAGAAAATTACCTAATTGTGTACAGGTTCAGTTCCACGTGTACTTGTGTACTCATAGAATCCTGTTTCAGTAATGCTACATTACTACCTTAATCATATTATACCCCTTTTTTCTTTTTTCGTAAGAATCACAGTGAAAATATAGACCATTTACCATCTATGTGTAATGCTTGGTCTGCATCCTAACCTTTCCTTTCACATTTTGATGTTTTCACTTCAGTCACGGCTTTTTGAGGCAGGCCATAAACGTAACAGAGACGGTTCAAGACTTCAGTTTATTACCAAGCTGTGCAGAACACAAGTAGTCAAATGAGCGAGAGGCGTCGAACACCAACTGCAACTTCGATGAAAATGCGTTTGCACATTTGTTCTGTAACATCACCTAAACACATCTGGAATGCAAAAGGAAGTAGCGGCTGTAATTGTCAGTTCGCTTCCATCCCTTTTGACCAACTCCAGAGCTGACGTGTACAGCAAAGAAAAGGAGCAGGAAGTCGAGAGACGCTTTAGCTCCAGCAAACCATGCAAGCTGTGATCATGGCTTGGAGAAAAGACAGATTTTACAAAACTTCCTATTTACAGTGACTAGACAGGAACACAGAAACAGTGTGTTGGCACGCTCTCCGTGCAGATTCTGAATGCTGGGTAAACACACTGTCTGCCTGTGTTCTGTCACTGACTCTGACGGTGGCTGCTGGTGATTTCCCCTGCCACTGGGCACCATGCAGTGACAATAGCAATCAAAAGAACCAGACTGTGGTAAATTAAAAGATCTAAGAGACAGCAGGAGCCATGTCAAAAGAGAATGAAGGAGTTAGAGACTGCAGAATATTAGTGTATTTAAAATAGTGTTTAAAATTCTCAGTGACGATTGTGGATTCAATGGTAGGTGGAGGCAAGAACTCCAAAACCTCTCATCCGAGGGCTTACATCACATCCTCTGATTGGGTTTTTCTCCTATTTATGTCATAATTTATTAAACTTCAGAAGAAACGTGTTTGATCTCCTAAAGTCGTATTTAAAGCAGAAGATAAATTAAACAAACCAAATCCTTTTACAAAGCGAAAGTCATTGTTGTGGAAAGGGAAATAATAAAGGAAATGGGAGATCATGATTTCATGCCTCGGATTAATGTGTTTTT